TGTAGGAAAATGCTAAGAAATATTCAAACCCCAGATGTTCAGTTTGTCATCTAAGCAGACTAATACACACAATATTCTAATTTTTGAGGCTGGTAGTAGTGAATTTTTACTAAAATAGTTTAGGATTTTTACAGAAAGAATCATCACCTGCTGTGTAACCCAAACATTCTTATCAGTATCAACCTCTCTGTTAACTGCATCGTGTGCGGCTCTGACGTCCGCCACAGGCTCTTGTTGTCTCAAAGAGCTTCATGGGAAACAGTGCTTCTGGAAGCGCTGCAGGACCAAGGCCTGAAGATACAAAGAGTCCAAACACAGGGACGTGCAACACTCTGAAGGCCAGCAGCCTGTCTGGTAACAAAACGCTGCACAGCAAGCAAGGCTTTTAACTTTTGTCAATAGTGCTGCTGCCCTGCGGGAGCCATTTTACCTCCTTAAAGCTTGCAATGTAGAGAAAGGAAAAAACAAGGAGGGCAAACCTCCAGGTGATGATAAGGATACAGACATGGCAGCAAAAACATGATCCCATTTTCCCTTCAAACGACCCGTCCTCTCCTTCCTCGTTATTACTATAATAACTACTACACTATATACTATTTACCGAGTTTACCCCCACTGAGTCCCTGCCTGCAGCCTTACCAATACTACATAGTATAGTTTGCAAGCTGTAAACACCTTGCAGTTCAATGCTTGCAGCAGTGCTTCAAATAAATGAGCTGCAGCAGGATTTCTAGAGATGTAGATTGAGTTTTTATATATTTGTGATCTCTTACTGCGTCCTTAGTTGGTAAGTGAACAACAGTTTATAAAGAGAAGGACTGACAAGTAGACAGACAGGGGACATATGTATTTATTCTCCTCTTGTCTTGTGTCCAATTAAACCTAAATTAAAATGTGAATTTAAATGTGAATTACATGTCATATTTCCCTTTGATGCACGTCAGGTCGCTTTTGACTGATGTTTCAGTATTATCGTAAAGATCGTGATCTCATTTTGTTTTTCTGCATGACGCCACAGGGGGGAGGTGGTCATTACATTCTGATGTCGCAGTGCAGAAATGGTGTTTGTCCACTGTGCAACAGGCTGAAGAGAAAATCAAAGATAAAGACAATAAATAGTGATCATCTCAGCTTTCTCACTATTATAATACTTTTACAAATCTCAAATTTCATCTTGCTAAATCAAACAAATTGAAATGGAAATAGTTCAAAAATTGATTTGTTTAATTACCACCCCAGACATGTATAACGCCGGTCATGTGTTGTGCATTTCAAATCTGTATTCGTCAAATAATGCAGTGATGCTCTTTGTCACAAGGTAGCTCCTCCACACTGTTGGAAATCTGGAAGATAAACTTCGTCACCAGCGTTACTGTGTGATAACAGCCACTTCAAATCATGTCAAAGTGACATTTTTGTAGCAGGCTACATTTTTCTTGATAAGGAAGATTATTTTTATGCCCTTGGAACAAATACAAACATAAATTCCCTCATCAGAGAAAAAGACGTTACCAGAATAAGGTTGATGGTTGTGAAACTTGTCTCTCACTGTATAACAGCAAAAGTTATTGACTGATTCCCGGGATCTGTGTAACCACAACTTCGTTTTAGTATTTTGAACTTCTTCCTCAAGCCCAAGTGCACTGAGAAGTAATTAGCAGAACCAAACTTGAAATCAGCTAAACTTAAGTGTTTCTCCAGGAAGGTAGTTAGCAGAGTTGCTAAAGGTGTGCTAAAGCATCTCACCTCTTCATCAATGCAGTGTCCATGAGATGGTTTTAACAATCACCTCATTCATTAAATCTGTGGCCTTTGCCTGTCAAAGCAGTCAGCGGCGTGGAGTGACCAATCTCAGGGCATACAGGATTTTAAATGTTTTCCACATCATTAAACTGCTTTGCTTTGTTGATTTACCAATCAACAAGGCTTGTCGCTATTTGTTAGATTACTCGAGGAAATTAAGTCTAGGGCAGAAGAGTTCATTAAACAGATTAAACCAATTAATCACTGTAGACAGCAGCTTATCAGACAGTATTTTTAAAGGACAACAACTCGCACGCTTCACTTGACCGACTCCTCCATGTTGTTCCCACACTCAAATTCTGCTGTATAGAGTCACTTTTATCAGGTTGTTTTATCTCTGGTGCTCGGGCCTGCAAGCTGGTACTGAGTACATAATATAAAGATGACCTTCATTGCTGATTTCAGAACCTATAAATATATAGGCATATAGATAAATAAATATCTCCTCTACATGTGAACATTCAGCGTTGGGACTGTTGCTGCTTCTTCTTTGTTGGATTTGATCCCATGTGATTATTTTGATTTTCAGAATTTTAAATAGCTAAATTCTTCTATTCCTAACTGATTTGCAGACCAAATGGCAGAATAGTTAATAAGTAGAGAGGTGTAAACTGTATGTATGTATGTGTAAGTGAATCGTCACCAAACTGGCTGCAGGCTGATCACATGTCAGTGGAAAGTCACTCTGACCTTCAAGGTCCCTTTTTACCATTTTAAGGTGATTTAAAATATATGCACATATATGGCATCATTGTGTCTTTCAGCTTTATTTTCATTTGGCACAAAAAAGCTCACATCTTGGAAACTTTTCGTGTTTGACTCAAAATTGCGTCGTTAGACTTATAAAGCAGAGTTTGCAACATTTTCTTAACACAGACCCAACCACACTGTGCCCAGAGTCCGTGAAACTGTATAAATGAATCATGCAGGTACTCACAAAAGTTAGCAGGTATGCCTGCACTCTTCAGTATCAAGTTTAAATATGTTTCTTTATTCATTGAAGAGGTTTGTCTGCAGTTTATACTCCTGCTCTCGCTCTTCCTCCTCAGGAAACGCGTTGCACCCTGCAGGCCTGGCCTCCTCCGTTCCACCTGCATGTAGAATCTAACTATCAACAGCGAGCGGTGCTTGATGTTTGTGTTGTGTTAACCACACACTGTTTTCATTGACTGCCTTTGTATGTGTGCATGTGCTCCAAAGGTTGTTATCTCATCTATCTTAAGCTGAGGATTAACACAGAGGATACCGGGAATGTCAGCCAGCGTCCAAACCAGCCTTGGTTGGGGATTTAAACGGTCACAAGAGTTTATAATGTAAAAGTGTGTAAAGAATAGAATAGAGGTCTGCACTCACGGTTTAGCCTCCATGGCTTCCTGCTAAGCCTATTTTTTACCTCTGCCAAGGAGGTCATGTCTTCTTTGCTGCCAGTTTGTTTGCAACTGAACCAATTTTATTGAAACTTAATGGAGGTGTGCCCAAAAAAAAGCCTTTAACTTTTGGAGCAGCTTCGATTAAGGAGGCAGATACAGATTTTTTTATTTACTTTGTACTTTCTATTAGCCTTGGCATAGGGATAAGCTCTCAAAGTGCACTTCAAGTTTTCTTTTGCATGGCGCAGGTGAAAGGCAATAAACCAGACTCCACTTTTGCCTTCGATGGCTTAGTTCAGTCAAGACTGGGTTAGTTGTCTATATTCACTGTGGTCAAACATTTATGGTGATTTTTTTTTGGGGTAGCAGCACCTCCACACACAACTGAGTGGGGCTAATCCATGCAAGCCTCAGTAAAGGTGTGGCCTCCACCCATTCAACAGAGTCGTCTATAACTGATCAAGTATTGTGCTACTGGCTGGCCTATTCGAAGCCATAATAGTGTCGTCGTGAGTTGGGATCGCCTTGGCAACTGGTGTAGTCGACCAGAAAGATAAGTCACAACTTGTTCCCTGGCACAGTGTGTATTAGTGGGAGTGGTGCATTTAAGGGATGTGTGAAAATGGGAATTTACAAATCCCTTGTGTGTTCATCATGTATGCATCTATTTGTAGTCAGGAAGCAGAAGCAGCATTCTGCAGTGAGGAGGTGCCAGGGTGATATAAATGCGGAAGCAAGTCGTGCATTGATAAAAGCAAAGAATTAAAAGGCATGTGTACGTGCATTGCATATAAAGGGATATAATGTCATTAGTGGGAAAACGGTCAAAGGCACAGTGTTGCTGAGGAGAGAGAAACTGGCCTCTGTGCATCCAGTCCTGCAGCCATAATGAGGAATGGCAGCAGAGTACACAGTAGCCGCGTTACATAATCGCTCCCTCTCTGTCTTCTGCGGCTCGGAGGGGGTGGGGCAGGCTTACGCAACTGATTATTTACGGCAGAGTGAAAAAAGGAATACGGAACAAAATAATCTGGTTTGAGGCCTGGTTGTGTGCGTGTCGTGACAGCGTGGCGGCTGCTGCCACCAAACGGATTCTGTGTGACTACGACCAGACGGCGCATCAAAGAGACATTGACTTTAACACAGTCATATTCAACCTTGGATCATGTAAATGCGAATGAGGGAGCTTTGTGTGTCTATTCCTATCTCATCTTATTTTTTTCTTTTGCTCAAAGTCACTGGTTTCACTCACACGATTTTGTCCTTTCCACCCATCCCCCTGCCCTCACTGAGATGAGCTCAGTCCTGCAGTGAGGTGGCCATGTTGGGGGACAACAGAGGGACATGAAATGAGGCCTGTGCTGGGCAGTCGTCCAAACCAACACACCGTGAAACAATGCAACCTCTCACTCTCTTCCTCTTCATCTTTCAGCAACCATGACTCACCAGTACCCCGCACTGACTCCTGAGCAGAAGAAAGAGCTGCAGGACATCGCTCAGAGGATAGTCGCTCCAGGAAAAGGCATCCTCGCAGCCGATGAGTCCACTGGTATGTGCACATGTGTGTGTGCATGGCTGTAAAAATGAACATGTTTTCTTTTATTTTCATGAGCTGGAATCCCCAGTCGCTTCAGGGGTGCTTCATATTCCCCAATTTTACAAATCTTAATCAATTAGGTAAAACATCAAGACTGGGTTGCATATAATGTTAATCTTTCTGAAACCTGGTACTGTATATAATTCCTTATGATAATGTGCATCCAAACCTTCTACATATAATTCACAGAGCAAGATACATAAGTGTTCAGGAAAACAACCCTTTTGAAACTGACACTGTCTCAGCTTTGATTATTAGTTTTACAGCATCACTATAAAACAATGTGTGGACAATTAATTAGTAAATTAAGATAAGCGATACAGATATTTAAGGAGCTCCTAAAGTCCCAACAGGTGATTTTTTTTAAATCTTATTGATAATAATTTGTTCCCACATGATAAATATCTCGGTTCACACAAGATATAAATGTGTTTGCACCAGATAATAACCTTGTGGGAGCAAGTTAATATTTGTGCAGCAATTGATTCCTTCTGATGATGTCTCTGCACAGTAGCAGCAAGAAATTCATGATATTCTTAGTTGAACATTAAATTTGATTAGCTGAGTTGTCTTCATCCTGGTGGCTGTATGCAGCTGAAGTCAGCTAATAGTGCGCATTACAATAGTGCACATTAGATAAAAACCTGTCTGGACTTGAGGGCTCTGTAGCTATTGGATAGATGGATCATAAAAACTGCAGGCAGTGTTAAACTGCAGCATTAACTCTTCAGTGACTGTATATCACACATGAATGACCTCTGTCTTTATTTGAACATGCATGAATCATTGTACCATTTGCAGGCAGCATGGCAAAACGTTTCAACCCCATCGGGGTTGAGAACACAGAGGAGAACAGGCGCCGCTACCGCCAGCTGCTCTTCACAGCCGACCAGCGCATCGACAGCTGCATCGGAGGAGTCATCTTCTTCCACGAAACCCTCTACCAGACCACAGATGACGGCACTTCCTTCTCCAAGCTCATCCAGGACCGCGGCCTTGTTGTTGGCATCAAGGTAAAGTTGACCCGTGGGTGTGGTTACAGTCCAGACTTCATTCTTCTTATTTGTTATTTGGTGGCTGTTTGCTTTGGCTCTTAACATACCCACATCCACTGTGTTGATGTCATACTACAGCCTAGTATTTCAGTTCAGCAGGCAGAAAGACAGTGGTCATGTGTTTGACAGGTAAAACGAGAAAGGCTCTGTATATAAAAACACAGAATCACTGTCGGCATGTTTAGACACACACACAGACCCACCCAGAGGAGAACATCAGGACAAGCTGTGTCAAAGAGCTTTCAGGTCCTATGTTCAGTGGGTAGTAGAAATATTTTTTGAGGAATGATTGATGCAGTTGAGAATTTGGTGTAATTTTCCCACATACAGTATTATTTTAAAACAATTTCTCATTATGTCTTTTCAGGTGGACAAAGGTGTCGTGCCCCTCGCTGGAACAAATGGAGAAACCACCACTCAGGGTAGGAAGCTTTAGTGAAACTCCCCTTTAAAACCTCACAAATGACATCAAACCCCCTGCTGCTGTGTTTCTGATGGAACGGCTCTGTGTATAGGTTTGGACGGTCTGTCTGAGCGCTGTGCGCAGTACAAGAAGGACGGCGCTGACTTTGCCAAGTGGCGCTGTGTGCTTAAGATCAGCGACACCACGCCGTCTGAGCTGGCCATCTTCGAGAATGCTAACGTGCTGGCGCGATATGCTAGCATCTGCCAGCAGGTTGGTGTGAATAAGCATTTCAGTCAGTTGAGATACAGATATATTCCCTTAGGTTTTTCAAAAGCATTCCCCACTTTCAAAAGTGTATCTATGTATAATATGTAAAATAAGTATATAACATTAACCTGTACTTAATGATGTCTCCTAGAATGGAATTGTTCCTATTGTGGAGCCTGAGATCCTTCCTGATGGAGACCATGACCTGAAGCGTTGCCAGTATGTCACTGAGAAGGTAATTTAAAGAGGAATATATATGAAAAATAACATATATGCATATGTCCTAATTTTACTACATGTATGCTGCCACAGTCTTTTAACAATCAGTAAATGTATATCTGTCTTCTGCCGTTAGGTTCTAGCTGCTGTGTACAAGTCTCTGTCAGACCACCATGTGTACCTGGAGGGGACACTGCTGAAACCCAACATGGTCACAGCCGGACACTCCTGCCCCACCAAGTACAGCAGCGAGGAAATCGCCATGGCCACCGTCACTGCCCTGCGCCGCACTGTCCCTCCTGCTGTCACAGGTGGGAGACAGATAGATATTTTTTATATATATATATATATATATATATATAACTAGGGCAAAATTTATAGAGGGAATGGGGGTTGTACACCCCCCCCAATAATCACCCTGTCACACTGAATGGAAAATACTGACAGTTAATGATAAAGTTTTTTGTGTTCTACAATTTATATGTAGCATGAAAAGAGAATAACTTTTTTCACCCAAATTTTATTGCAGCTACTTTAGCTACTAGCTCGTCGGTATTATCTGGAAAGTATGACGTATTGATAGGTATATGTATATGATAAGGTATATCAAGCAATTGTTCATAGGTAAGAAATAATGATTTAGAAATTATATCCAGATCATTTGATTTTGCTATTTGACATCAACCACCCAAATGTTCAACACAAAGTTAAACTCTTGATAATAAAAATCGGAAATCTTTTTTATAGTAAACTGATTTCCCAAATTGCACAGTATTTTCTGGAAAATACATAAGATATGATTAGGATATTATTATTTATTTATTAATCCATAAAATAAGGCATCAGCATATGCATGCATTTATTGCACTATATATTCTGTATGTATTGATATATATTGCCACATTGTTTGTTCATCCCATCCTCAGATACAGAGATTTAAATGTTTTGAAATCAGGTTTGAACAGGTCGATAACGTGCGTATGTCCTTGTGTCTGTCTTGTCAGGAGTGACCTTCTTGTCAGGCGGCCAGTCCGAAGAGGAAGCAAGCGTGAACCTCAACGCCATCAACAACTGCCCGCTCGCCAAGCCTTGGGCCCTGACTTTCTCCTACGGCCGCGCCCTGCAGGCCTCCGCCCTGAATGCATGGAGAGGAGAGCTGAGCAACGAGAAGGCTGCCGCCGAGGAGTTCATCAAACGCGCTGAGGTCAGACAAAACCATGAATACACACCACACACAGTCACATCCACTTAAACTTCCATTGTGAAATATTCTTTACTCACTCTTTTTCCTCTTTGTGTTCTTCAGGCAAATGGTCTGGCTGCGCTCGGCAAGTACGAGTCTTCTGGAGCTGGTGGCGCAGCAGCAAAGTCTCTCTATGTGGTCAATCACGCCTATTAAACATCAATCGTCCACATACTACTGTGGACTAGTTAAAGTCTTATATCTGCTCTGCTATTCCCCCCTCACACCTCCATAAACACAGGCCTGCGCTGTCTACTGTACTTTAGAGTTGTCAGAGTTATTCAAATTATTGGTTATGTGTATTAAAAAAATTATGTGAAACAAGAATGCTAAAGGGATCAGGCTTGTTTTTTTTCATTGGATCAAACAGTTTTAAGATTTATGACTAAAGAGGACAACAGTTTTTAATTTCTTGTCTGTAACCTTTTCACCGGGCTCAGAGACAGGAAGTAAGAGGCTGCAAAATCTTTTTAGTGGATCAGGTGATCAGTCAGTATTCAGTCCCTACCTCCTCTGAACTGCACCTGTCTCCACATCTGGTGCTTTCCGCCTCCATTCCCCCCTCACGACAAAACCCCACTCCCGGGCAAGACAGATCAGCTTGTGTGTTTTCGCTTGTGTCTGAACAAAGTGTCGGCTTCAAATCCTCAAAATCCAACATTAACACTCTCCCCAACACTGGGACCAACCAATCATTATCAGCATCAGCACTAGCCGGTGAGAGACGAGAAAAGAAAAGACAGCGTGGAGTCTTTTGGTACTGAGTTGATCTTTCGAGCGACTGTGGGGTGGTTGTACTGTCAGACAGATGTAGCTCCAGCAGAGGTCAGTATAGGCCCACGTTAACAGAACATCACACACCAGGATGCGTCCGTATGATTCAGCCTAACCTTTCTGTTCTCACACTCCCAATCCCAACTAACGTTTGCTCATGTCGATTCTTAGTATAACTTTAGCTTTAAATCACATACAGTACTCAATGTATTCAGTTGTGTGAAGGTGTCGATATTATGTGATGCTTGTGTGTCATCCCCCCTCCTCCCCTCTCCCTGATTCCTCTCAGTCAGCCCCACGAGAAGAAGACTTGGTTTCTTTTGACGTATGTATGACGTGGACCAACTCGTGGGGTCGGCGGCGGGAAGCGGTCACTGCTGTGTTGGAATACTGTGATGTTTGTGATGTTAATATTGTTCTTGAAGCACTTGGTGTGTCAAATAGTGGAGACAAATAAACTAAAAATGTAAAAAACATTTGTCTGTGATGTTGTGGCTTTAAAGCTTATAGATGCAATTATATACCATATTCCATTCAGTGACATTAGAGTCAGTGGTGGAAAGTTAAATTACTCAGGTACTGTGTTTCAGTATGAATTTGAAGTACTTCAGTATTTCCTTGAAATGCTACTACTCTTCTCCAACGTTTTAATCAAGTAAACCATAAATTTTGCATCAGTCACAAGGATAAATGTTCTGCCAAACACATATTTTTTCACTTTTGATGCAAGAACAATTTTCCTCTGTGCTGCTGTATTCACTTCAAATGCTGGACTTTTACATGTAATAGAATATTTCTATCTATATTTGGATTATTACAAGTATTCTTATTTCATGCTTCTTTGTGCACCAACTCCAGCACATTTCACTGGGAAATACAACAAACATTTATTTATTTAATCACTTTTCAGATCAAAATGATCAGTTTAAACAAAATGATGCCTTGTTAAAGAACGTATCCAACTGTATATGAAACAAGCAAAATTAGCTTTACTCATACCAACTACAAAATCCCACTGAATGTATATAATGTATATACGAATACACCAATCATGCAAATAACACAATAAACTGACCACTACATTAGAAGAACTTTTGATACTCAAAATTCTACAAATAATACAGTGGTATTTTTACTTGAATGATACTTTGAAAGCAGGACTGTTATTTCTACTTGTGTTTTTATACAACATTGTTGTGTTTAGATCATACAGTCTATGGTTTAGAAAATTATAAAACATTTTAGAAGTGATTGAATTTCCTGTCTGTCTTTTTGGTTTATTGTTTTTCCAGAGCTATGACTGAAGCCACCACAAGGGGCGCTAGCAGGCAGTATGTCCCAACATTGTGTTTATGCGCTCGATATTGTCACCCCTCAGGCCCGGAGGAGCTGTGGGTGGGTCGGTGGTTACAGTAAGATAACATTCATAAAATATGTTTCCATGAATATCAGTTAGTAAATCATGACTTTGTTTGAGAGTGAATCACAAATATTCCTGGTTCACGACATATTTGAGTTTTTACTCTCACAGTACAGGTTTTCATGTGGGTCATGTGACTTCTGAGCGGCTCATAACTCATAACCAAACACACCTCGCCCAGTTCATTGACAGAAATGGCTACCACGGAAGTAGGTGAGTAAATCCACAACTGGATTCAGTACGAACTGTTTCCATCAAAGAGGAAGAATTCAAACTAGTAACGTAACTTACCGCAGCATCTCTAACGCGTACAACAGTCGTAGGGACGCTGGCTCGTCAGCGGCTGCTTTCCCCATGCAATTGTGAACCTTTGAAGCTAAATGCTAACTAGCCGCAGTAGCAGCATGGATGTCCTCCCTATGTCCACTGAGGACACTGCAGAAGGACCTGCCGGTGTTTGTGTCATTTATTTTCATTCATTCTTTATTACTCCCAAACGATCCCCAACATCTGAGCTCAGTAACACAGTTTATGAGCCCTCTTTTTTTTAAAGCCCTCTTTCATTGTGTAAAGCTAAACCAGGGCTTGCAGAAATGTGTTGACCTACACATAAACACAGTGATTCTGATCTGTGTGTCTGTTTCTCTCAGAGCGTCGACGAGGCCAGCTCGCTGCTCTGTCCATAGCAGTGGTGGTCATCATCGTGGGAGTCCCACTGTGGTGGCGTACGACTGAAACATACCGCGCCTGGCTGCCTGTCAGTCAAATAAATGAGTTGGCTAACCTGCAGGTTTGTTTGTGCATCTTTTAACATCTTACGGCACCTTATCTTCCATGTGTAATACATGTGTACCTTTTCTAAATATGTCCATCTTCATTTCTTTCCTTGCAGCTGCAGTTGAGTGCTGATGTGGAGGTTGTGTTCGCACGTGGCACTGTAACACCAGAACAACAGAAGAAGGTCCCACTGATGCAGACACAGGAGGAGGAACACAGAGTAGATGGTGATTTCTAAATATGTCTCTTATCTTGAGAGGATGGAATATGAATACGAGGTGTGTAATGTCATTTTCTTGGTCAAATGTATTTGTTTCCAGAGGACACAGCTTTGAGGTACAGATATGAAACAAGGTACCGCACAGCCACAGTCATGGAAGAGGATGCCCTGAACCAGCTGACAGCTGCAGGTGAGATGCTGTTTGCCTGTTCAATCAGCACATGTAAACATTTTGTTATTTCGGTCAGACCACAGATAGTAACCTCTCTCTGTCTCTCTTGCTTTCCCTGTGTAGAGGCAGATCTGTCTCTGCACACACTCAGCGAGAGTCCGTGTGGTTCTTTGGTTGTGTACGTGATCCCAGAGTCCTCTTCACTGCTGCCTCAGGTTGAAATTCTCTAGATTTTCAGATATTTTTTCCCACATGTCTGTTATGAGCGTCCTGTTATTTATTACCAGTGGTGGAGTGACGCCATCGCTAGATGTTTTCTCTTCATTAGTTTGTATGTGCTTATAAAATGGTTGATTAAGTCTAATATGTATAGTTTTATGCTTTGATAAATGGACAAGTGTGGACAAGCAGCATGTCCACAGGAAAAAAATATGGAATATGGAATACCTACTGGTCCCTTCATTTGTCTCAGGATGTTGACGTGTATATCGGTCGGAGAAGGACAGCCTTGCTTCGTATTGATGCTCAGATGAGAGTGGGCAAGACTCTAAAGCAACTGCTGACTCACATGGAGCCTCGAGTTAAGCAGGTGCTGCAGGTGATGTCATTCAGCCACACAGACATCACTGCTGCCCTCAGCGACCGAGTCCGTCTCAGCCCTGGCAGCAAGGAGAGCATCGCTGACAGTATGAGGGCCTTTAAATCCAGCCCAGGTTGGTATTTGTTTCACCGTGGCCACAAAATGGGCCAACTTAGTTTCTGTTCTACTCTGTATACACCTCAAATCTATGAACAATGCTTATTCTTCTCTTTAGGTTACGAGATAACTTTCAGTCTGTTGAACCCAGACCCAAAGTCCCACCGGCTAAACTGGGACATAGAGGGTGCCGTGCAGACCTACATCCAACCTTTGCTTACAAAACTGGCTCCTGTAGCCAACTTTAGCATCGACTCTCAGGTACTGTGTGTGCACGTGTGTTAATGTTAAGCATCCACTGTACATTAAAGCGTGTATTCTGCTTACAGACCTTATACTATGCCATGCTGGGTGTCAACCCTCGCTTTGACAGTAGCCTCAACTCCTACACACTGAACGCTGACGGCCTTGCACACGTCATCAACCCTGTGGAGGCCAGACTTGGTAAAAGAGAAAAGTCACACTGAAGAAACTTGATGTTTTTCCTGGTGTATAGATATAAAACAGTTGTTGTTTTGCATTTGATTTCCAGGCTCTAATGCTGCATCTTCCAACCCAGTGTTGAATTTTCTCCTGTACGTCCCGGATGCCCACCATTCTCCTCTTTACATTTATGACCGCAAGAAGCAAGAAGTGCCATCTAATGCTTTTCACTCTCCTCGGTGGGGTGGAATCATGGTGAGATCATCTTAGGGGCAGCGCTGGGTGACAGTAGTATTTTATTATATCATGAATAACTGTAGCTCATTAGAGAGTGCATGTAGTAGCTATAGAAAAATGTGGGGTTCTTTGCTCTCTTTTTTTAAGTTGTGTGACAAAAATGTCTGTATCTATATTTTTATAGGTTTATAATGTCAATGATTTCTATGGACCGGAGGCTGCGTTCCCTGTTGACATCGACATCAACATGGCTAAAGTTATGGGAGTCTTCCTGGCTCAGCTTCGGTAAGTGGACACAGTTGTTCTATTATACTTTTCCTGTAGACACGAGATAACTTAGCTGTCCTGCATCCCGTCAGACTGCTGCTTGGCGTGCAGTTGTCCTCCCCTCCCCCCGGCTTCCTGGTGGCACCGTGTGGCAGCGCAGGACTCGCTGATTGGGAGCTGGATCGCCTCATGTGGAGTCGGAGTGTGGAAAATGTTGCAACAGCAACCACCACCATCACCTCACTGGCACAGCTGCTGGACCAGATAGGCAACATCGTGATCAATGACAACATCGCTGAACAGGTAAGTTGCACATGCAGTTACATAATATGTAGGTTTCTATATTGGAACTGTATGTGCATGTTTCAGTGTGTGTAGAGCATCAAATATTGTATAGTATTTAAAAATCAAGTGTGGATGTTCATATCAGGCCATGTACAGCTCTGTTCTTAGGGATCTCAGACTAAAGTAGAAACTAACTGGACTGGTTCCTCTGAATCAATGCTTACAGTTCATATTTGTTTGTTGATCAAAAAAAGGTATGGGGCCTCAGAACTGTTGCATACACTCAAAACTGAGCCTGAAATATGCGTATAGCTTCGTCCATGAAAAAGCTAAGATTAATAAAAACAAACTTGATTGGATAATGTGTGTACCTGTATGGAAACTCTTACTGCCACAAACATTTTGTCAGAAATCTGAAAACGCTTGTAAAACATTGCTTCAGGGAACAGATGACGATGATGATGATGATGATGATTTGAATTTCTCTACAGGGATTAATAAAGTATTCCTGATTCTGATCCTGTGAGTGGCTCTAGTATGGCAGAGCGCACTAGAGACATGATTAGTGTCTTGGTTGCATCCATTGTATCATCGTTTTTTGTGTTTGTCTTTCAGGTGTCCAGTGCTGTCACGTCTCTGCAGCTGGCTGTGGCTGAGCTGGAGTCTGGGAACCTGGGCTTCGCTCTGCAGTACAGTAAAGAGGCCATCTTGGCATCAGAGAGAGCGTTCTTTGACCCGTCCCTCCTCCACCTCCTCTACTTCCCTGATGACCAGAAGTTTGCTATCTACATACCACTTTTCTTGCCCATGTGTGTGCCCATCCTGCTGTCGCTGCTCAAAATAGTGTCTGAGGCTCGACAGAAACGCAGAGATAAACAGACCAAGAAGGACTGAGAAACACGATGAGTTCTGAAGAAAGAAACACATAATTACCTGTTTTGTGAGTGGCCTTTAAATTTAGGTACAAAGGAAGCATGAAGAACGGCTTGTTGCATCATTGAAATGTTTGGTTTACGGTCATGTATGATATTTATTGTTTCATGTGGGGGATTGTGTTTATCATAAGATTTTATTAAAAGAATGCTGTGGCTGTCAGACACTACTGTTGAAAGCTTGAATTGTTGTAAATTTGTAAAAGTTTTATATTTGAATTCCACTTTATAAGTTATTAACAAATAAAGACCAAGGTGTAACTCGTTTTTGTTTGAGTTTTATACCTGACCATTTTCTTAAAATAGCTTGAGAATACTACATTTTGCATTAATATCAAATAATGGGATGGATTTTTGTCCAAAGTAAGTGGTCAACTTATGTTTACATTTGAAACACTACTTTTGACAAAATTATAATACAAGGTCAATTTATTATTGTATTATTTGAGCTTTTTATGGCATCTTACTGATTTATTCTGTGGTGTTTTTTGTCTTTTGATCACTGACAAATTAAAGCACTTTCTATGCATGTTAATGCATTATGTATACAGTCAAGTTTCTATATGAAAAGTTCTTGGCTGTGTTGCTGACACATGATTGCAATACAATGTCATATGTGACAAATGTGGATCTCCATTTAAGCACAATTTAATGGCACGTCAATAGCTTAGGCTCAAATCACAGTGTTGCTTTTTTGTGACCACCTTTTTATGTGATGGTCAAGTTCTTCATTTAATGTATGTAGATGGATGAAGTTTGCTCTGTTTTATTGAATAGAATGGAGGTTTTTGATTTCCCATCTTTATCTACTGATGAAGATAACGTGATGTAGTCGACAGCCCCGGAACAGCACCCAGCTGGATGCTGAGGTTTGATCAACATGCTGTGCACCTATGCTGGATGGTGTAACCCAGCGCTCCTGCAGGCGGCGCTGAGCGCCGGTTTAAAGGCAGTTGCTGCACGCCATTCAGCACAGACGAAGAACACGTGTAGTAGGCGGAAGGCGCTGAACCACAACTCGCAACTTCGAGCCTTTGTTATCTGAATGCTTTGTCGTTTCACTGGAAGTTCCACAGCTTCCAGTAAGTCGCAGCCGTAACTAAATAATTAACGTGCATTTCTAGCCGTCGCTTTACGACCTAAGCGCCATTTTATCGTCTTTTCGCGAGAAGAAGTCCTGTTAGCCGACTTGCTAACTTCCGTACATTAGCGAGTTTGTTGCGATCATGTCCGGCGTCATCCGTGGACCCGCGGGGAGCAACGATTGTCGTATATACGTGGGGAATCTCCCGCCAGACATCCGCTCAAAGGACGTCGAAGACCTGTTCTACAAATATGGGGCCATCCGTGATATCGATCTGAAGAACCGGAGAGGAGGACCACCGTTCGCCTTCGTGCAGTTCGAGGACCCGAGGTGAGACTGAGCTGCCCCGCCATGTCTCGGCGTTATCTCCCCTGTAGTTTCTCCCAAAGCTGCTCACTAAAGATACAGTCACACACTAATACATATAAACGGCTCATCTGGTTACAAACAAATCACATTGAAATGAATGGTGTTCCTTCTTTTTTTTTTTTTTTAGAAAAACGTTTATTCGACCGGAAGGTCCATTTAATGGCGGGAAGTAAATGAATCAGATACACTGATGGTTGACTAATCCTGAACAAACACATGTTGTAGGTCCTCAAATGTAAAAATCAACCACTTTATACACAGAATTAAATACGTTTGACTTTATATTATTTCCCATAAGACGAAAAATGAATAGATGACGACCCTGTGAGGGGCTCTTGTCTGGCAGAGATATGATTACTGTCCTAACCGCCCTGTTTTAATTCATATTTAAACATTCAGTGATTTAAAGGGGAACATATTCCCAGTTATCACTGTTTCACTAGAAGTAGTCTGTAAACAAAATGACGGAATAATCGACGAATGCAGCCCTAATAGCACTGTTGCACTGCTGTACATTACAGTCTGGTTTATTTGCACCTTTTCACCTCCTTACCTGCATTTCAATGGGAAATAAACACAATTCTGTAACATGCCTTGATTCTGGTGCCAAAGACTGTGATGGATGATTTTAAACTCTTCCCTCATACAAAGACTATTGTATTCTAAACAGCAAGGTCACTTCAAATTTCTCAGTTCATCAAGAACATTTATAGGATGAGTAAAACCCCTTTTCAGTGTCTCATACCCTGAATAATTAGATTATATCAAGTAATAGTTTGATTATCCTATGAAGCTATTATAAAACTGTAAAAAAGGCTTTTTAAATGGGTTCATATTGATAGAAATGTAATGTGCTTATTATTTGCACTGATACAGACACTGGATTGTGAGAATAACTGGCAGCTGCACTGGATTGTGACTTCCAAGCCTGAAATCACCAATATTTGCAGTGCCAGGGTCTAAACACCTTTTTAGCCTTCAATTAAAAAAAATGGTGATTTCCATGTCATATTAAACTCTTTAATCATCTTATATTCAACAGCTTTATTTCTTGAAATATAAGATAAGATTCCCCCCCCCATACCTGCACAAAGTGTGTTTCACCCAGGTTTCGTCAGCCAGTTGGCTTAAATGATATCTTGGCTCTGTGTGTTTATTTAGCTCATTCAAGTTTGCTGATCTGTAACTGTTTGTTTCCACAGGGATGCTGAGGATGCTGTTCATGGGCGTGATGGTTATGACTACGATGGATACCGCCTGCGTGTTGAGTTTCCAAGAGGAGGAAGGGGAGGTGGAGGAGGAGGAGGCGGCGGTGGTGGTGGTGGGGGTGGTGGTGGAGGGGGTGGTAGTGGAGGAATGGGACCCCCGAGGGGGAGGTATGGTCCCCCGTCCCGACGCTCTGAGCACAGGGTTATTGTGTCAGGTGAGTGTTCTGTTCCTCTCACTGCAGATTGTACTTGTAACTAAAGTGTTAGAGGTGAATTTATGACTTTTATACCTCATTTCTTCCTGTTAGGTCTTCCCCCCAGTGGAAGCTGGCAGGACCTGAAGGATCACATGCGAGAGGCAGGTGACGTATGTTATGCTGATGTTTACCGTGACGGCACCGGCGTAGTGGAGTTTGTGCGGAAAGAAGACATGACCTACGCTGTCCATCATTTGGATAACACCAAGTTTCGTTCTCATGAGGTACGTAAAGTGTTACAGCATTAAGCTATCTTGAAATGGAATGGCTATGGAGCTACAAACTGGAACTGTGAACATTTTCTCAAATGAAGAAAACAGGATTGTGGAGTGACCTCAACTGGGTAGTAAGTAAAGGCCAATGTTAAGTTTGCATGGGGATATAATGTTGCTTTGCGTCATAATTCTGGCTATGCATGTCATTTGTGGAGTAATGATGGCAACAATGGTGTAATGCTGATTTTTATCAGAATATTATTAGTTGCAGTGACTTCCAGAAACTGTAAATGTTCAAACAAAAATTTGTCTGGATCCTCCCAAAAAATTTTTGTGGCTGCAGGTATTTCCTTCTCATGTTGTAACTTACACGTATAAATTAATGCTCCCTAATGTGTGTGTTCAGGGAGAGACGGCCTACATTCATGTGAAGACGGACGGTCCTCGCAGTCCCAGCTACGGCCGTTCACGCTCTCGTAGCCGCAGTCGAAGCCGGAGCAAGAGCGGCTCACGCAGCTACTCCCCTCGTCGCAACAGGGCATCTCCACGTTACTCTCCCCGGCGCTCCCGGTCCCGCTCTCGCACCTAGACTCACCTGACCGTAACCAAAGTAATGGTGTACCTCAGAGCTGGAGAGGAAATCTTCACATCACATTACAGATCCTGATTACTGACCACGTATCATCTTGTTTGTGACCCCTTCATGCTGTTGTGTTGTGTGTTCGCTTTTCCCAACTTTCTATTATTTTTTTTCAGTTTTCTTTTTTAGTAAAAAATTTATGCAGACCACAAGTACACAAACCTCTTGGTCTGTGTACATGGCATTTTTCACTCTGCCATGCTTCCCTTTTTTTAATTCTCACAAATTGTCTCTGCTGGCCATCTCTCTCTCTCTCTCCTTTCCCCTTCTCCTGTGCTGATTGTGCTCGTTGTATGCTTCATGTTTCGTTTAAGAATTTACTTCTTCAAACATTTACTATTGTCCTTTGACCTTCTTGTGTGTCTCTCTGTAGAGATCAGAGGAACAGGATAGGATGGAAACAGAGGAAACAGTTCATATTAAGATAAACAGGAGGAGGAGGAGTCAAATATGGCACCAATGGTATGATGGCTGTGCCCTGTCATCTATGAAATCTGCATTTTAAGGCTGTCCAGCTTTTTCTTTTTTTAACATACACTTGACAGTAGAGCGCATTATTGAATGTTTTGAGTATTGGCACATTCTGCTCACCACTTTGTATTACAAGACCCAAAGCTTGTGTTCTTTGCTTTCGCTCATCTTTTACTATCTTCAGTATACCTTAGTTTTTGGGATTGATCATAGAAGTGTCCCTTGTTTTACTCAACGTAAACTCCCTCATAGATGTATTCATTGACATTTTTAAGTAATTTGTGAAGGTGTGATTCTAACTTGCCTCCTTCTCTTTGGTTCTGCTGGTATTCTGAAGGTTTGGACTGGGCTCATTGTCTCCCCATTCCGGAGCTGGATCAGGATTCAGGATCAGATCAGGATTAGGATTAGGCTTCGGGATGGATACATGGAGCAGGAGCATGGGAGCATTTTGCAGGGAGAGGATCCCGACCCCTGGCCCTGTCCACATTAACCCACAAACCGGAATCATAGTCAGCTATTCGAAGTAAATTGGCTTTCAAATTATCCAAATCATTTTTTCCAATTTCTTTTGGGACCTCAAAGCCACAATTACTGACGGCAACATGATGAGCGAATAATTTTTCGGATTTTTTTTAAAAGAAATAAAATTAAGAGCAAAGCTTGGATCAAAACCAAGAAGAGGGCTGGGAAGTGCAGGATGGATCAAGACGCGTAAGGAGTGGTAAATAGTGGGCAACCCTTAACAGCAAAGGAGGGAGGGAAGTGGGAGGCGACAAGGGAATGTGACCTTAACGTGGTTTGTATCTTTTTCTTAAGTCAGTCTTTTCCAGAGGAGGATGATTTCTGATTTATTTTCTTAGGTATAATCTTCAGTATCTCAAAGCTTTATTCTCTTTTAATAAAAGTTTCGATAACACAAGTAAATGTTAGTGTTTTTCTTGTTCAGTATTTTGGATGCCACAAAGGGCTTTACACAAAAGCATACAAAATCTGTACGCATGACATGCAATTCTGTTTAAGTACATTTTGCTGGCTTTTTGATATTTTACTTTTACAGCTGTTTCTGACGTTTGCTTGCTTTAACTAATACAGTAAGAACAGACAACTGGATGATTGTTTTGATGTCTTCAGCAAATGTTCAACTTTGAACACGAGTGTAAAGCTACACATTTGTGTTTGCCTAAACTGCATCTTATGATTTAAATTATTTAGACCATTCTCAGACAATTAGTGGGACATGACAGAGATCCATTTCATTGTTTTTATGAGAACATTACAACTAAAAT